GGCAGACGCTTAACGACTGAGCCACCCAGGTGCCCCCTAACTGCTTTTTAAACAAAAATTATTAATGGAAAAAATATATGAGTAAAACAAGGAGAGTGACCCCTATATACCTAGCACCAAGATTCAACAATTATCAAGACTGCCAAATTTTCTCTTCCCTCTTCTTTGCCGAGTCATTGAGTCATTTCACCCCTCTGTATTTGAGCAGGTCTTTCTAAAATTTGTGGACATCTTCTCACATAACCACAATATTGTTAATCACATCTACCAAAGAATCTATGTTAATTTTATCATCTAATAACCGGTCACTAATTAAATGCATTTGATTATTTGTTCAAGTCAAAATTCAAACAAAGTCCTCACATTACATTTGGTTGAGTCTCTTAAGTCTCTATCTATAGCAGTTCCCCCTATTGTTTCTGGGGTTTTTTGCCCATGTTATTGACTTATTACAGAAACTGGGTAACTGACTGAAAGTTTTAAAGCATATGACAGATATTCTATTTCTGATTAAACAGCTCTTGGAAGATAGACCTATCAAGAACTGGCCTTGCTCCTCCTGATAGACACAATTATGTAAAGTAGTGAGAGCAGAGAGACCAGGGAGAAACACTATAAAAGGTCTGAATACTGGTTATGGAACAGATCTAAAAAGTCTGGCATATGACAAACTATTATGATAATTTTCTAAGACCCAAGCCTATCCCAAGTCTAAGACCCAAGGCTCTTCCCTAGTTAAATAAACTGGGGACATGTACATTGAAGCCATGGGTGGGAAAGAGCCATTACACAGTGTTCCAACATCAACCATTTCCATTCTGAGGTTAAAAATGCTAGGTGTAGGGATGCTTAGCTGGCTCAGCTGGTAGAGCATGTGACTCTTGATCTTAGGATTGTGAGTTCAAGCCCCATGTTGGGTGTGGAGCCTACTTAAGAAAAAAAATAAAAGTTAGGTGTATGAGAGTCTACCAGGGGAACAAAGGCCACTTTATAATACTTTATACCAACACCCCACCACTTTTTAAGCAGCTGATAGTAAGAATGTTTAATTCATTCAATTCAGTTAATATTGCTGGCTGTGTTAAAGGTAGCTAAAATAGACTGTTTAAGTTATGATTTAAAACTATTCTATAACAACAGCAAAGTGGAAGAATTAAAAAAAAAATGGTCAGATTATTTTGGATAAGAGTAAAAAAAAAAAGAACATGGACAATGAGATAAAAAGCTGCAATTCAAGAAAAGTTCCAAAGACTGTGAGCATCAAATTGGTGAAGTTTACAATGAAGCAATATATACTGTTGGTGCCCTGGAAATATATGCTAAATCAGTCTTTTAAAAGAATGTTTTAAAAGATGATGTACTGTAAAAGTAAGATAAAGAGCACATTTACAATGTGGATATGAGGGAAAGAAAAAATGAAAACTAACATTTCTATCCATCTAATATGTGCCAAACATATTAGGAACTTTGTTTTACAGAATCCTCAAAAAAATTCCTGAGGAAATTTAATTATACTTTTTACAGATAAAGTAAATGAGTCTTGATGAGGTTAAGTAACTTTCTCAAAGTCATATACAGAAAGTAACTGTATCACCAGGATTCAAACCCAGATGTGTCTGACTCCAAAGCCCATGTTCTTTCCAATGGACACCCATGTGGAAAATAGCTTTAAAGAAGGCAGGCAAGCTAGGCATTCAAACCTAGAAGAAATTTGGCCAGGTATACCAAAGCTGATTATAATTTAAAAGAAAGGAAGATGTTAAACAGCATAGAAAAAAAAATGAGTAGGGTAAGATAGACAAGAGACAAATTAATTTCACTTCTAAAACCACTGGGAAGAAATAAAATGACAGCTGCCTATAGAAGGTGGCAGGAAAAATCGTTATATGCAAGAATCTTAGTCATAACTACGTAGTGAAGGGAAGGTTGGTAATAAAGATGAATTTTTTTTAAATTTTAAATCAATGAATAAAAACTATTATGGTCATGAGATCCAAGAAATAGACAGGAATATGGAGAAAAGGGGGGAAATAATGCTCAGAGAGGACAGTAATTTAATCCGATGTATTTTTTTTTTTTTTTAAAGATTTTATTCATTTATTCAACAGAGAGAGACACAGCGAGAGAAGGGACACAAGCAGGGGGAGTGGGAGAGGGAGAAGCAGGCTTCCCGCAGAGCAGGGAGCCTGATGCAGGACTCGATCCCAGGACCCTGGGATCATGACCTGAGCCGAAGGCAGATGCTTAACGACTGAGCCACCCAGGCGCCCCTAATCCGATATATTCTAACAGAGAGGATACCAAAGGTGGTAGAGGGGAAGAGATGAAAATGGAGGTCAGCTTCTCTTGAACTCTTGGAGAGTTGATTTTCTTCAGTCTAAGTTCTTTTTTTTTAAGATTTTATTTATTTATTTGACAGAGACAGAGCGAGAGCGAGAGCACAAACAGGGGAACGGCAGAGGGAGCGGGAGAAGCAGGCTCCCCGCTGAGCAGGAAACGTGATGAGGGACTCGATCCCAGGACCCTGGGATCATGACCTGAGCCGAAGGCAGACGCTTAACTGACTGAGCCACCCAGGCATCCTTTTGGTTTAAGTTCTAAATATTACTCAAATGAATCCCTTTTGTTTGGCCCATAGAATCATATTTCTCCAAGGACTATTTTCCTTTCCTCAGAGAAAAGATCTGTAATACTTTATGATTTGAGAGACTATAAAATTCCTAGCACCAAAGACTGCGTTAACAAAACATTAATGTACTTTGGTTAACTTATAGCTATTACTGCAATATTACTCTAAAGAAAAATATGTACAAACTTAAACCATTTCCAGAAAGGAAATGCATACCAAAGGTAATATAGTTTTGAAGCTAGAATAGTATTTTTAGCATATTCATATAAGGAATCAAATTCCTTTAGTCTCCCAGAGCACCAATTAATTAGGTAAGCTGTACTTTCATATGTTACAAAGTGATTCAATTCTGTCATTAGTTCTATATAACCACTTAATAGTCAGATGCTCTTAGAGCCAAACCTTCAAATATTCTGCCAAGCTAGGGAGTATTAAATTTAGAACTGTTTTAATTCTCTTCAAACCACTTGGGTTTATTTTTACTATCCTTTTGTCCATGAATTTTAAGTTGTCCTAACTTCTTTTTTATTTTTGACATTAACAAAGCAAAGGAGGTTGAACTTTCGAAGTTTTCAAAGAGGTAAGAATAGATCACATGCACAGAATACTCAAGACAAGGTCTAAACATAATATCTATCAACAGCAACAACTTGGTGCCCTCTTACTTGTCTTTTTTTTTTTTAAGATTTATTTATTTATTTGAGAGAGCAAGAATGAGAGAGAGTACATGGGGGGGGGAGGGTCAGAGGGAGAAGCAGGCTCCTTGCTGAGCAGGGAGCCCAATGTGGGACTCAATCCCGGGACTCCAGGATCATGACCTGAGCCAAAGGCAGTTGCCCAACCAACTGAGCCACCCAGGTGCCCCTTACTTGTCTTTTATTACTTAACATTTCACTTGCAAAAAAAGGTTAGAAACAAATACTTATTAAGTTTATAGTGTAACAGACTACTTACCCCATAAATAAATCTCTGGTTAAACTGCTGCATTGCTCCTTGCAGCTGACTACGTTGGAGCTGCCACTGTTCATAGTTCCGGACAGATTCCAACGTTGGCCTCTGCCACGTTGTTGTTCTTGTGAAATGGTCAACATAGTAAATACGTCCCATGTTGTCAACCCGCCGTTCCCAGCTAAATCAGGACAAAAACAACCTAATTCAATAATTACTTATGATCTAGATATGAACTAAATAGAACTTCATCTTGGCCCTGGTGCAGGTTTGGTAAGATTTTACCTTAAAGTACTTTTGATTTACCTGAACTCTTTTATTTTATATATTTTTAAATGGTCCTTAAGTGAACACAAAAGAAATGTTTTTAAAAATTTTTCCTTAAAAGTTAAGATGTATCAGGTTTTAAAAATACAGTGTATATTTAGTGAATAAGTCTCAAATAGTAATTAAGAAAAAAGTTCTCATTTTCTTTCCAACGTTCTTTTGACTGTTGAAATCCTAATAGGGAGGGACACAATTGTATATATAGCTTTTCAGAAATATCAAAAAGCACTTTTCCCACAAAATTATAACTGATCATTTCAAATGGGTGCATAAATTTTTTTTTTAAATTTATTTATTTTAGAGAGAGAGAAAGTGCGCAGGGGGTGGAGGAGAGGGAGAGACAGAATTCCCCACTGAGCGTGGAGCCTGACATGGGGCTTGATCTCACAGCCCTGAGAACATGACCTGAGCTGAAATCAAGAGTTGGCTGCTTAACTGACTGAGCCACCCAGGCGCCCCTCAAATGGGTGCATAATATTAAGTAAACGTTAATACAATAACTTGTTGATTTCTACTTTGTTTATGGTTATTTCCAATATTCTCGTTTTATAAATAGTAAAATAATAAATACCTTTAATACATCAATTTTTTTCTTCCTTTGCATTACTTCTTTAGGATAAATTTCCTGGAGAGGATTACTAAGGGTATGTGCATTACTATAGTTAGATATACTTTCTGTAAGAGTTGCAACTAATTTATACTACCACTAGCAATATTATGTGGTAAAGTTCCTCTACAATCTCACCAATACTGGATACTATCTGCTAATTTAATAAGTAAAACAGTATCTTTTAGGTGTGTATTTGAGATCATAGCAAGATTAAATATTTCCCTATTTTTGCTACTGAATTCCCTTGAACAAAAATATTTTCTTCCAGGGCGCCTGGGTGGCTCAGTTGGTTGGGCGACTGCCTTCGGCTCAGGTCATGATCCTGGAGTCCC